GAACATTCCCCCACCCCCACGCCCCAAACCCCTACATCTTTAAATAGCTTGAAAGATTCACGTTAATTAATTTGATTACAAATTCCTGAGACTTTGGTAAATAATTCATAGCTATTTCATAAACAGAGGGACTAGTGCCCTGCTTAAATGCTATTCATAAATTGAGAACACCTTCTTCCACAAAAATGGCTAAAAACGCTTGTATTTCAGAGATCTGGCTTTAAATGTTTTGTGTTAACCATGACATAACGTGTCAGTATGTGTGTATACAATATGCATGTTTTAAATAAAAGCATTTTCCTGACAAGGAAACTGGTCTCAGCTACAAAAGCCATAGCAGACTTCCTGCTCTTTCATTAGCCCTAAATGAGAAGTCAAGGCAAATAAAAAAAGAGTGCACGTTGCTGCTTCTCCAGGAAAACATTGGTACAAGCCAGTTAAAGAGTTCAAGTATCAAGGCCAAGCTAACCTGATATTATCTTAATAAAAATCCTTGTCTTATGGATCTTGTGCCCATATTCCAATTAGAAACAACATTATCCTTGCCTGCTTATCATATGTCTATATTGTTAACAGTCAAAAATAACTTGAATTATTTGGTACAGCTGCTATTTCCATTAACATATGCAATTAGGACCTAACAAGATGTTGTGACATAGGCAACGCATGGACATACGGCTATGTCATGGAAAACCCACTCACATAGCCCTGAAAGGGGAAAGACTGCCAAAAATTCAAATTCAGAAGGTCCAGTATTTCAGCATCTATTGTCCTTCTAGCCTGCAATTAAAAGCAAATATTTTGAAATTCGGAAATGAGATAATAAGCAGAATGGAAAATAACAAAAAGGTAACAGCACTCATACAAAAACATCCGAATTTCCTTTTCTAACCCTCAGAGCTCAGCATCAACCCAACTGTCAGACCAGAATACAGAAAGTCAGGCTAGAGAGAACTGAAATAAATTTTTTAATTGCCTGAGATTCTTTAATTTCACCTTAAATATATGAAGAATTGACTGAAGTGGTGTTATTTTCAAAAAGTAGCCAAAGAAACAAGAAACACAGTATTTTTATTTAAAGAAGGAGATAAAACGGGAACCAGTTCAGCCAGCTGAATTTCAATTCCTGAAAAAAAATGAACAACAAAAAAAAAAAAACAACCAAAAATTCGACAAAACAGCTTGTAATAGCCTGGGCAATAATTGCAACTGAAAGAAAGCAAAAAATCAGTTTGACATGCATGTTGAGCACAGGTCCTCAACATGTTTTTCTACCTTCCTTTTCTCAACAGGAAGATACTAGTGTATCATAGAATCATAGAATAGTTAGGGTTGGAAAGGACCTTAAGATCATCAAGTTCCAACGCCCCTGCCATGGGCAGGGACACCTCGCCCTAAACCATATTACCCAAGGCCTCGTCCAACCTAGCCCTGAACACTGCCAGGGATGAAGCATTCACAACCTCCCTGGACAACCTGTTCCAGTGCCTCACTACTCTAACAGGAAAGAATTTCCTCCTTATATCCAATCTAAATTTCCCCTGTTGAAGTTTTAACCCATTACCCCTTGTCCTACCACTACAGTCCCTAATGAAGAGTCCACCCCCAGCATCCCTATATGCCCCGTTCAGATACTGGAAGGCTGCTATGAGGTCTCCACGCAGCCTTCTCTTCTCCAGGTTGAACAGCCCTAACTTTCTCAGCCGATCTTCATATGGGAGGTTACAAGTATGACCATAACTCTTTTTGATGAAACTACAACAATATGAACACAAAACTGTTGAATGCTCAATGGCTCATTGCCACCATGGCAGGACATAGCACGTGGGATTCCATAGCAAATGCCCACAAAATGTGGTTCCACATAGAATGGCAACTTGCATTATAGAATCAAGAGAATGCTTAAATTTATGAACCCATATAATACAAAGCTTGTAAGGACTGAGGGAACCTGAGAGGACATACCTGAACTTCTAAATGTTCTTGAAAAATTAGGGAAATTTTCTAAAATCACCTAAAAAAAGAGAACACAGTTCTTAGGGAAGATATTTAAATTATTACTCTCTGGTAGAAATTATGAACTATACAAAGATAGGAAAGGGTAACAAGCTGTAAGAGACATCTGGCTTTGAAAAGAATTAAGGTTATAAAGGATTATGGCATCATGAGGTCAACATGAAACAAACAATCAACAAAACTTTAATGTGATTCATGCATAGTAATTTAGCTTGCAAGACAGAAGAAGCAAATGTCTCTGCTCTACTCTACAGGAACTCCCCGTTGTTGGTCAACACATATCAAAGGTATCAACTGAATGCTGTCCTCTGCATTCTCACCAACAAAAATGGTCAGATGCTCAGAAAAGATAACTCGAAAGACTAGGAAAAGGGAGTAAAGCACCCCTGACAGTGTTCAAGGCCAGGCTGGATGGGGCCTTGAACAACCTGATCTAATGGGGGGTGTCCCTGCTCATGGCAGGTTGGAAGTAGGTGATCTTAAGGTCCTCTGCAACCCCAACCATTCTAGGATTCTACGATTTTTTATAAGCAAAAACAGCACAATGACATTTGATCTAAGGAGGAGACTGAGAAGAAAGATTGATTCTTGACTGCTGCTAGTCTTTAAAACAAACAGATAAACTTCTCATGCACAGTTTAGATGTAATAATTGGTTCTTCCCCGCTAAATCTTGGTAGATGTAACAGATCTCTAAAGATCCTTCCCTATTCTGTGGGCTCTATATAGCTAGATATCACACACATAAGGACAAAATAAATAATCAACATGTCCATATGGGAAAGTAATTTGGAAATCACTGTCTCCAAAAAGAACATTTGGGAACTGCAAATCAGGCTCTACTGTGCATTTATAGTGCCTAGAAGGGTAATTCAATCTAAAATGCATAAAATTAGGAATATCAGGTAGAACAAACACCTTTCCTATATACACTATGTTGATCTGACTTTTTAAGAATAGGATGACTTTTCTGGTGTTAAAACTACCTGGAAGTACTGGAAAGATTTTTACGGCTCGTGTTTGCTTGATAAAGAAAAGGGGCCCCTTAATACACAGGTTAAAAACCTCAGTCTAGGCAAACTCTGAAAGAGAAAGTTGAGAGATTACTTCATTATTTTCACCTATATGGACATATGTATTTATATACATGCATACCCCTAAGACTCATTAAGATGTCTGAAAAGGAGAAGAAGATGGGGGGGGGGGGGAGAGATTTTTTTTAGGTTCCTAAATCAGCTCATAGAAAACTACAGTGAACGGAGACTGACATTACATGAATGTATCTTGCAGGGATATCATTTCCTATTAGCAAGAACAATTAAACTCTGAAAGCTCTTACTATAGGAAATGTGCATCACTGCTTCAATTTTTTAAGGTTAAATATTTTTTCAGAAAGATATTCTTATATTCAGCTTTTGGGAGAAAAACGAAACTCCATAGCCTCCATATACAAAACATCAAATCAGATTATCACCATTCTCTAACATGGCTTAGCAGTCTTAAAACACCTTTCCCTCAGCTATTCCATTAGATACTTCCTAGTCTATGCGTTTTGCAACAGAAAGGAACCAAAGGAACTGAAAACAAAAGTGACCTGATGCAGAAATAGGAAGAAAGAATACTTCAGGGCGCCTCAAAGCAATGGCCACATAAAAATCATTCCTTAAATTCCACAAAGAAAGGAACTTTTAAGACTTGGAAAGTAAAAAACTCAAAAGGTCAAGAGAAAAGGTGCAAGGAGAAAACCGAACATAGCTGTAAGAAGATGCTCACTGTCCATCGGGAAGAAACGGTGAGTTGCCTCCTGAGAAGGCTCAGGGCACGAAATATGTACAAAAAGAAATTAAACTCATCTGGTCCTAAAGACTATGGGAAAACAAATATTCCACTTTTCCTAAAAGCTGCCTGACATGTTTTATGTTAATTGTACCTGAGGCTTTCTGTTGTTCCTCCATAAGCTCAAACTTGCCTGATAAAGCCGTTCCAAAGTCACTTTGCTTTCAGGAATGTCACAAAAAGCAAGCAGGCATTTTATTGTTATTGCTGTACTGACTAATCCATGTCTAAGCCTACCCTGTACATTACATATAGTCAGCGTTTACATTTTAATTACTGTACAAGCTGTTCCAAAGGAATCTTTCCCTTCCCTATGGTAACAACCAGGAAATAAATTTCCAATAATAGACTATGTTTCCAAGTGTGGTTATTCGTCGTGACAATTTCACCTTCAGGCCATCACTATTCTATGATTCTAAGTACTGCTAGAACAAAATCTCCCAGCAATGCATCAAGTCGTACTCCAAAACACTTGTCAAGGCTGCTACTGGATCCTCAGCAGAACACTTCAGCAGTGTAACTAATCCATGCTGCCTATCTGCTTAAGAAAATTTAAGATTACCAGCACAGCTGGACCTTTTCTGTGACAGCAAAACAGCATACCTGACATGCTTATAACTTACAGGTCCCAGGCTTAAGGTCTCAATATTTTTGCCACTATGTTGTCAAAAAAAATAATTATAAGGACATTTTGTATGTCAAATTATAAAGTGTTTGGAAAACAGAACCTAAGTTAAACATAACAAATGTTTTAAAATTAAGGCATTACTGTAGAAAGGATTCCTTAAAATCTAATAACATGAGAGATTAAGCTGCAAATACATATATGACTCCAGAGTACCCAGACATTTACTCACAGAACACAAGAGGGGAACCTCAGGACTTTTTTGCTGTTTTGAAAGACATGTCAGAGTAAGCTAAGTTGAGAGAGACGGAATACACTCATACTCTATAGCTGTGAATAAAGATATTTGTGGTGTTAAAAGAAATCAAGCCATATATACCCTTAAATTCAATTACAGTTAGATTGGATGTGTACTGAAGCTTGGACAGGAACACTCAGGAGTCCTAAGGGATGGTGACCTGGGGAACAGAGACCCCAAACATAAGAATGAAAGGATGTGATAATAATACAGGGTTATCAAGGTTTCAGAGGCTGCTAAGAGATGCAGGAGAATGCAGGAGGGACATACAAAGAAAAGGAGCCACAGACAGAGTTAAGTGTGGTACATGTTAGACAAGAAACTGGCTACGGAAAGAACTTTGTGATCTGGAGCTGAAGTCACATGCAGGAAAATAACAGGAGATCCCAAATTTCTTCAGAGTAAAATTGTGATACCAGCTAGGCCTATGGTCATCTTACATCAATCTCAGTAGTAAAATACTTAGTATTTGGAATCATATGCATTATCTACCACATCTTTCTAAAAGAGTGCTACAAATCCACAGAACAGAGGGTAATATGGAAAGGTGCCCTTCAAAAAAAAAAAAAAACCAGGCCTAGAGCAGCTCAATCCTGAAGTCTCATTTCTGCCTGAATAAAATTCTAAGTTCATGGAACTCAGAAAACATAAAAGAAATATAAAGGCTTGTTCTATATGTGATATGGAAATAACAGAATGTGGAGGAGTTTAAATATGTGAAGAAATGTATACATATATATATAAAAAGTAAGAAATTATAATATGGCACACATTACTGACCTGAATTAATGAAGAGAATGAAAATGTCACCAGAAAGGCATACAAGAAAAGAACAAGCTGACTATGCTAAAGCACTTCTGGAGCTGAGCCATCTAACAAACACGGGAAACATTCTGGGAGAGAAAACGCTCTACCAAGCATACTGAGACAAAGGGCCTGTTTATAAGATGGGGATTTTTCACAGTATTTTAAGGTAGGTTCTGCTCCTCTTTTCAATGTTTTGGTTACTTTACCGCCACTTCAACAGCTTTCAATTTAATATTATGAATTTCTAAAACTGCAAGATTATGAAAACCTCTAAAATCCTGCTTCTAAGTGTTCATAACACTTTAATTGAACTTCAGATGTCTTATAGACAGTGCTTCCTACGCAGAACAGTGTGGTTCCTACGCAGAACAGTGTGGTTCACTAAAGGAGAAGCCTGAGTGATAGTACAGCAAATGACATTAAAAGCAAAGCATCATTTTCTGAGGTATTTTGGATAATTGCTTTTAAACGTAGATATTTAACATTAGTTCATATTAACTGGACTCCAATTAAATGCTGTAAACATTCTTATTTTATTTTTAAGCTGAAGGTTGAATTTTAAATTCTTGTTATTATCCAGGGGATGCATTAGCAGCAATACTTCCTTACTGAGCTAGGACATACATGTATTACAAGGTGTTTGTCATCATATTACAAGTATTTGTCAGCTGAACAGGCCAACCAGGAGTTGTCTGCTTTGGACAAGACTTAATTTTCACATGGAAGCTAAGAACATATGCAACCTACCTAGGAAGAGCAACTCTGAACTTTGCTAAACAGTCAGGCTATTGGTTTATTTTTTACCCTAGAATCTGTACCAATGCCAACACTGCATAGGTGTTCCCTAGTCAAACTACTTCAACCAGCCAATATAAAATTCCTGGGAGATCAAATACTCAGTCCTCCGGAATCCAGAGCAGGTCTGAATTTTTTACTTATCATAAAAATTCACGTTGCAGTGCTGTTATTCTAGGAAGCAAACTAACATTTCACATACTTTTCCTAATACTGAGTCTGTGGATAAAGAAGCAGTACTGTATTGTACTGTGTAATACTATATAGGCTTGTATTTTAATTGCTAGTGCAAAACCGTTCAGCCTACCATTTATTGATTCACAGTGCTCTGACAGTCCTAGGAAAGGTTGTAACATATTCATATTTCTGATTTTCATATGTAAATTAGATTTTTAAAATAGGGCTTAATTACAACTTAAATTCCCCCTCCTTCCCCATGATGAAGAGATACAGTACACAGCTTTTACTGTAGGATAAAGCTGATGAAAGTGATTAAAATAGAACTTGCTGTACAGTTGCTCAGAACCATGCTCTTGTTTTCTGCAGCTTCAGCATTTCCAGAACTTGCAGGAAGGCATAAATAGACTCCAACAATGAAACAGAGCTCCACCAGAGAGCTGAGACAATGTACACAAGTACAGGAACTTCCCTTTTTCAACTTTTGAAAGTCCCTAACCCATATAATATCCTGCATCAAAAAGTTCAGAAGATATAATTTGGACAGGGGAAAATGCTAAACTTGCCCTTGACTAAAATTTTAGTTTATATTCTAGAATTTAACCGGGCAGTGATTGTGGTGAGGATCACATTTCCTGTGTAATTGAAGGAGAAAAATGACTGCTACTGCTGAGCCCAGGACAATGTCAAAACTCAAGGGAACATAATTCAGGTTGCATGAGTGATTTCAAACACAAACAGCACCGGCATAAAACCCCACTAAGCTTCAATCCTGGAAACTGTGGCACAAACAGAAGTTTCTTCACACATCACAGGCTCTTAGAATCAGAAGTTCTGGTGAACAGCAATTTTATACCCATATTCTAACTTTTCCCCCATTTCACCTCCAGGGGAAAGGAAAATCTACCATGACTACATGACTAGAGTGCAGGTTTGTGGACAGAGCCCAGTTTTACCCCCCTACACGTCCACTCTCACAACTGATCTAACAGCTGCCTCCTATTGCTAGGCAATACCCGTAAGTGCTGCAAAGTTTTCATGGGCATGCGACCGCGCAAAGGGAAATCCTTCTTTTCCAGATTTATACCCCAGAGAAATCTGAGTGGTAGTCATGGTAAAAAAAACCCCAAAAGGCCTCTTGTGTAGCTCAACCGCTGCCTTCAAATATAAAAAAATCTGCTGCAAAAAACTGACAGATTCTCTCAAAGTCATTAACAATCCTTTCCAAGGAAAGGTTAGGGCATATCTGTAGAGATTTTGCATATAATATTACCTCAGCAATACAAAGCAATGCTAATTTAGAAAGAGATATAGGTATAGCTATAACCCCAATTTATAGTAACAAGACAAAAGTACTTCTATTGCTACCGTTTATAGCTGTGGATAAAATGGAGAATTTGTGATGTTGAAATTTTAGACTGACAAACATTTCTGAGCATTATAAGTAAATAGGTAAAAAAAATAGGTAAAAACGGTTAAAGGGGGAGGGGGTGGTGCAAAACCCAAGAAGCCCTAGAAGCTGCAAAAACACTGAAACCTACCTTGATGCAAGGTGTTTTCCATCTTCTATTTGATCTATAAGCCAGCCAACCAACCCAATTTACTGAATCATGCACTTCTTTCCTCTGAATCAAACCCTACTCAGTGCTTTCTCCAGCCTTGATTTAGTGGCCTCAAACATTAGACTAGCCACTTGTAATCTACCTTCTGCTTTAAGTCTTTCTTTACTCTTAAGTACACTTACTTCAGGGAATTTCATTCTTTTCCTTCCGTTTTTCAATACAGAGAGGTTACAGCCATCTGCCTGCATAAGTAAAAACAAGCGAAGTGGGGGTTTATGCTACAGTGTTTGGAGTTTTTACAGTGACTGAACAAACTGTTTACATATATTTGCCTTAGTTTCCACTTGAAGCAGAATGGTATAACTCAGTCCAATCCCTCTGTGCAAGAGTCAATTATTTACCAGCTTCCTTTTGGCAAAGATTACTTTCAGCTCTTATTTTAAGGCACTGAGGGTACCAAGGTGTTTCCTGCTTTGTCATTTATCAGAGCAGGCTTATGATTTATTTTAACAAGAAACAAAAGGCTATCACAGAAAGTGTAATGCCCCACAGTACAGGGAATATAATTCTAATAACTACTGAGGCAAGCTTCTAACTCTGAATGTTCTCCTACCAAAGCAAGAGCTGTTAATGCATGCTTATCCACAACATTGTACAGACTGCTGGTATATTCAGGCATTACTTCCCCCCTTTCCATTCTCCCCAGTTGAAATGTTCACTGTATTATGAATAAGTTATACCTAACCCCACAGAGATAACTCACAGTTTTATTTTTGTGTGTATATACACAGATGTGCACACACATGTACAAACACTCCATGCCATGTTACTAAAACTCTGGTTTTCTCCTGTCAGGTCTCACCTTCTAACAGGTGTGTACATGCTGTTCCAAAAGCTAGCCTGAAGAAATTAACTCTTACATGGCTTCCACCTCCATTTCTAGATTAAGATTCCTCATTGTAAGAAATAGTTAGCACTAGCTAATGAAGCTGATGCTTTGATTAAGCTTTGAAATTGGTACCACACATCTACTATGAAGTCACTAAAGATCTGATAAAATCTATTTCTTTATTTAGCATTTAGTTGCTGACACAACAGATATCTTCCTAATACCTCCAGGAGACATGAAATTAAATTCCAGAATTCATTAAATGTTTGTAGTCTGCCTGTTCCCTGGGCTGCATGACAAAAGATCCTGAACAAGTGAGCATAACTGAAGCTAAACATTTCCCTCATTCAAGGATAAAATTTTGGCCTCTATCTTCTAGAAAAAAATCCCAACTTTTTTTAAAAATTCACCTTTTCCTTGAAGATTTAAAAGAAGAAACTTACACACAAGAGGACTTTGCACTCTTTTCCTCTTAATTTTATCTTTATTATTTGTAAACTCCTGCACCCTCTCAGCATAAGGAATTAATCAGTTCTCTGAGCTACCCAACCAATCCAAGTTCTGTTCTCCCAGCCAAGCATCTGTACCTGCCCTTCCCCATCTGCTGTTCTTACTCTTGAGTTAGCTTACCGTATCAACCACTGCAACTTCCTTTACAGTTTCACTAGACAATAGATGGGTGCTTTCCTGAATGAGGATGCCTTCCGTCTTTTCTATCACTCCACCATCTTTTCCTCATGACTAAACTGAGGTGATAAGATGAAACACATCAAACAGAGGCTTGTTCATCATCTCTTTTGTTTAAACGTGGGTATGTCACGCATGCCAGTTTTTCCAAGATTAAAATTAAGATATTAAAAAAGACAAATGCAAAGACAAGCCAAGAGCAAGGACTCCAAATATATATACATATGCATCTATATAAAAAAAATATAATATATTAAAATATATATATGCTACATTTGTTCTGAAGCAGACTAGGGAGAAGGCCATTTAGAATCAACATGAACACATTCCTACAAACCACTGTAGCCATCGTTAAACGTTTACTTGGTTTTGCCTGTGTGCAGTGTTACTCAATTGGCCATTTCCATTTCATTTAATAACATAAATGTGATGAAATGCTACAGAACACAGTGTTGTCAGTTCATAACAGATTTTAGTCATATATGTATTGCCCAGGTTAGAAAAACCTGTAAATGTAAGAATCTTAAATGAAAAAAGAAATGACTGTAGTATATGAATCCCACAGGCTGAAGAACCAGAAGGAAATAAAACTTACAAGTCTCACTGTTTTGGGAGGCTGCTGGGAGCCAAGACCGGACTAAGTAGACTGAGGAACAGAGGTTTCCCTACAGCAGAGTCAACAGCTTCAAAACCAAACCACGTTAACATTTTATCAAAGTGATCTAACATTAAAATGGAAGACTTAAAATAATTTTCTTAGACTAGAGTAAAACAAATGTAAGTAATTCCTGGTTTTCTTACATATGGACATGGCCAAAATCTGACATGTATTTCTTCGGGAAGGAAAAAAACCTTTTAAAAGAAAGCATCTCATTTTGCCTGCAATGCTCATTTTGCTACCACCCAGTAATGCCACCAAGAACTCTGTATTCTTCCAAATGAGCGGAGTCAGAGAAATACTGTTCCTGTTCTCAACACTATTGATTTAATAATGTGCCATACCACTACTTCACTATTCTATTCCACCCTGGCTCTCTGTTTAGTTTAAATGTTTTCCCTCCTTCTGGTCCTCCTTGCCCCACTCCTCTATTCACCCTTCTTCTTACTCTATTTTTTTTTTATTTCTTTTTAACTAGAATACACCTGGGATTAATTGTTACAATGCTTCTTTATTTCACGCTTTGTCTGCTATTTGACCAAGAATGGAACAGACAGATCTGAGTAGTAAACACAGAGCACAGCCCACCACATTATGTAAACCAAGAATTTGTTTTCCCTTACATGCCTGTCTTGCACTTGTCAGTACAAAACGCCATCTGTGATCCAATCACACTTTTTGATGCCCTCTGCTACCAGCTTCCAGTTTTATTAACCAACTTAGTATCAGCAAATATTTTCTGAGGTTAAGAAAGTGTCACTTAAAATAACAAAATAAAAACTTTGAGGATTTCCTCACTAGCTTTTTAAAGCCTAGAAAGAAATCATAGATGCATACTTCAAGCTTACCAAGACCTAGGTCATGCAAACATAATGCTGGCAAATTAACAAAGCCCTAAATAGTTTTATCAGCAGTAAAGCATAGTTATAAAAAGTTCTTCTCAAGAGTCCCTACAGCTTACATGGAAAAAAAAACTAAGGATGGGGTAAGCAGCAAGTGAAACCCCTTTCTTTAAGCCAGTCTTCAGGAACCTCTGCATCAGCTAACAAGCTTCCCCCGTTGACACAGCTATCCTTAATTACACTAATTTAAGGATATATTCCACTCACCAGTTATTAAAGTGAGCATAAAAGAAATAATGTTGCTAGCTCTCTCATTCCTATCCAACAGGAAAAATATTTTCTCTATGGCAAAAGTCACTTCTCACTTATGCTTGTTACATAGCTTATAATTAGCAACAACAACAAATTAGAAATCACACATACCATTCCCATTCTACTCCTCCATTCGTAGCTGATGAATTAAATATTTATTTACTTTTTAAGTTTCTGAGGAAATCTATTCTCAGTCACTTTTCTGGGTTAAGAATTTAAACAAAGACACTTGTGCATCACAGAATTTAGAATCTCTTTGCTGGTAATTCCTCCATAAGCACAGGTTTTATTTCCTCATCACTCCAAAGAGCAAGGAATTTTAACGGGATAATGTGGAAGCTTATAAAACCATCACCGAGGGTGCAAATATTTAAGAATGGTATGTTCACTACTGGTTAAGCAGCACCAATAATGTAACAAGGCGAATCTTTTGATAATCTTAAAATGTTGATTCTATTTAGATGAGGAAAATATAGGTGCTTAACCAAAAGCTGACTGGCAATTTAAATATTACCAATTTCTGCCTTTATCCATATTTAAATATAACAGAAGCAAAACCAGTTATTCAGGGTGGATGGTGGGGGCGCTGAACCTGGGTTTAAAGAGCTTTCTGGCAGTCAGTTTCCCTTGTTTTTGATCTTCCCTCCAATCCATTTCTGTTCTCATTCTCTTATGTATCTTTCCTCTTCCTCCTGAAGACATGGTCAATGTTCCTGTATTTTGTGCTTGTTCAAACCCTTGTTACTTGATAAACCCCACAAGTTCCTGCTTCACAAACTAGGTTCTCACAGCCTTCTGGTTCTGCATGCATCTCATCTGAACCACAACAAAAATCCTATCTACTTCCATATAATTTTCTTCCTTTTTCTTTTCTTTTTTTTTTTTGAGAAGAAGTAAGTTAATGAGTTCTGATGTATTCAGTTATGGCAGATACTTCATCAGCTGGAACATTCACTGCAGTTTATCAAATCTCTCTTAATACAGTTATGGTCTGAAGTTATTGTAACAAAGGACTTCACAGGGTTTTAAGTTATTAATTGGGGGGGGAAGCAGCAGCAGCCACAGCTCACTAAAACATGATCAGGAATGGTAAGTTGGTATTTACAGGAACAGTGCAAGACATTATTGCAAATGTAAACAAAATTTTACAAAACAGACATAAAAACAGTTTTAAATGAATAACTGCTTTCAGTATAAGCTGAAGTCAGTACATTATGAAATCTGAAAAACAACTTTCAGCTCTAGTTAAGACGCAGGAAAGTTCTTCAATACCATACATACCCACCCAGAAAAATACAAAACAGATCTAGACAACTCACACAGGCCCCACTGTACTCAGAAGAAAAAAACAAAAACACCCCCAAAATAACCCCCTCAACTCAGTCTACTCATTTAGCTCTAGCATTACAACTGTTACAAAGAGGTTAACTGTGCTCATTCAACTTTATTTGGATATTAAATGCAAGATAAAAGATCTCTAGATGAAACGTAAAAGATCGTATCTTATTTTTAGGAGATAAACAGATTCGAGAGGTGTGTTCCAGCCCAGCCAATCCCGAGGCTGTTGTGCAGCTCTGCCACCTCTCTAAGCCCAATCGCAGCTCCGAAGGGAAACTGCTGTTTGTCTCAGCAGTGCTGATGATGAATGGCTGCTTCAGGGGTAGAGATCAAGCTGTGTGGTAAATCTTTCTATTTGTTCCATTTGCTTTTCTATTTTAAACAGCTGCAGTGGTCTGTCTGGCACCCTACATTAAGTACATGTGAATTTCATAAGAGAAGACATTTATGTAAGTGAAAACATGGCTTTAATTTGTCCTTTCATTCTCAAACTGAACACTGAACTTCTGTAAGCAGCTGTGGAAATTTACTATAATTTTGTATCCACCTTCCAGAAAAGGTATAGCATATCATAGCTTGATTGTACAGTTTTTAAAAGGTCACCTTTCAGTGATAGCAGGTTTTAAGATGATGACGTTCTCCACCTTTCTTCCTCCTGCCACTGAATAACATGCAAGCAGAGTATGTTTATTAGACTATGCCCTTCAAATATACAAAGACCTAACATACAAGCCTTGCTTATCTTCCAGTTATGCTGAGGTTGTGCTAGCATAATGTATGCCAACTGAGCCTGGCACCAAAGGTCACAATTTTAAAGGAATGCTTTACACTAAAACCTACTACGAATTTCTAAACTGAAGAGACAAGCAATGGGGTTTTTCCTTTGTTTTGAAACACCACTCTTGACTTAAATTAAGCCCAAAATTTCTGGCCAGATTACAGTTTGGACAAATCCTGCTTTCTCTTATAATTTCAGTATGTTATTCTTTGTATCCTGACTTCTCAAAGCTAGCTAACATTTCAATGGCCAACAAAAAAAGCTCGGTGCCTTGATGGAAATATCTACCTTACCACCAATTTCAAATGTTTTAGGATTCTAAGGAAAGCAAGTGCAAGCACATGTTGATTCAAAGACTGTAAAAGGGTTATTTTCACCTCCTTTTATTACTCATACTCTAGTTCTCTCCTTCAAATTCCATTCAGTTTCTTTGAAAGCTTGACCATGTTTAGCCAATTCTGAATTCAGGCAAATTAAAAGTGAATGAAAGTAAATTAAAAGTGAAATGCCAATAAATTGAAATGAAAAGGCAAATAGCAGCACTGTAGGTTGCCTGTTCATAATATCAAAAGAAATTATTACAGCTCTTATTTGAGATAACTTCCACCAAATTCCATTTATCTGGAACTTTGTTCTGTTTTCTTAAGTGCAGTAGTATATAAAACTTCTCTGGAAGTATTGCAGTGTCAAGTAAACATTTCTCTGTCTTTATCCAAGCAGCTTTTCGCATAACTTAAAATTACTGTAAAGTTCCAAGAGTGTTAATTCCATTTTGCAGATAAGCAAGATGAAATAGGGCTATTAATTCATCCAAGATCACACAACAAATCGGGGAGTGACAGGGCCAGGAACAGAACTCATCTGTACTCCCAGGCCAGACCCAGAACTGTTATGCCCATTTCAGTATTACTAAAAGAAGCAGAAGGTACATTTCTGGGGAGAAAAGCCAGGGGAAGATTTCTTGGTAAGGAGTCTGGAGAAGCCCGTGAGAACACTGATGTGCCAAGTCCTTGAAAGATCAAAGTCTCCATTATACTTCCAGTCCCTTCTTACAACAAACCAACACACTGAAGTATCTTTCAACAGGACACATGAATGGGAATGTAATACCAAGCTGGAAAAGCCCTCAGAAGTTAAGATACGATCTTAAAGGCTACCTACAATGGCTTTGATTACCAGAACTTGCAGCTGACAAGTTCATGGATTCACTGTAAAACTTTTCAAATACAATGACTGAACAACAAAATAACCACAGCAAAGGGGTAATCTCTTAGGAAGAAATCAAAATAATTTCATTAGAGAATTGTCTGTTTGTACAGTTTATATTACAGTATCATGTAAGTTTCATTTTAGAAAGTATTTTAATCTTTAAATCAGTTTTAAGATTGTTCAAGGAATTTAGCACCTTCAGGAAGAATTCCAGGACAGAGATTGTGTTCTGTGTTCAGACAGGCAAACTAGACATTTTCAATGATATTCTAATGGTTAAGACAAAACACAGTTAAGTCATGCTAACAAGGGGTTTTTGTTTGGTTCACCAGTAAGCATTGGAGAAATAGTGCAAAAAAGCTCTGCACAAGCATCTTGAATAAAACACGTCAAAGTAACCCAGAAGGAAAACAAACAAAAAAAACCAAAACACACACAACTAAAAATGTACTACTACATTTGTCTGCTTTCAGCCCTTAAGAGCTGTGTTGTCATGCTCTGTCAAGGAGCTGCAACTAAATTGTGACTTCATTCTTTCATTTTGGATTTCAGACAGTTAAACTTTGTTTGCTTTATTTCCTCACACACACACCCCCACTCCCATGTCCTGCCTCAGCAATACCTCTCCTGTTATGCTACCATGCGTCA